TTGCGGGGCAAACAAGGTTTAGTATGGGGGATGTGGAAATGGCGAATAGAATGCTTGAGTTACCTATGTAATAGCATAACTGTACTGTCAGCTGTCATACCAGTGTCGTACCTGTATCAAGCGGCACCTCAACCTGTGTGTAATCCACACCTTCCTCTACCATAAGAGCAATTAACTGATTTATCTTGACATTTTTGCTCCCATCTGGAACAATAATCTTTGCCAAGATTCCTTCCTCATCACTGTCCATAGAGATTGTGGCTTTGTCAGTTTCAATCTCGCAGAGTACATCCCCAGGGGAGACAGCATCACCTTCCTTTTTCATCCATTTTACAATGGTTCCTTCTTCCATGGTGGGTGACAGTGCAGGCATGAGGATTTGTGTGGTGGGAACAGCTAAAATGTCATACATGTTAAATATCAGCAGACAGTCTGAACAGCACATTTAGGCGTGAGTGCAGTGCATGTGTAGTATGTATTGAATCTTAACAGCAAGGTTCCGGCAGCCTGAAGGGCCACCAAGCGGAGCACCATAACTATAGGAACAGAACCACACATATGCATAGAAACAGAAAACCTTACAACTCTTTTTCATGGTCAACATGGCTACTGGAATGGATCGCAGACGTGTGCACCCCACGACAACAAAAAACAACTTCTCATAACATGGCAGCCATACTCCAGCTCATAGGTCGACCAAGTTTTACAGCATACATCTTTGATATGGTCAATTGACATCTGTCATGTATAAATCTTCAGAGTGGTCAGTGTATGACATTTCAGAATGCAGATTCCAGAATTTTGAACTACTATAATCGTAATCCCATTTCCATTACCGATAATACACAGGCTAAGCTGAGCAATATAAAGGCTAACCTGAGTGATATTTAGGCTAACCAGAGTACTATTTGGGTCTAAATGTAGTCTGCAGTCTGCAATGTCATACACCGCCTTCGGAGGTAATGCTTTATTTTGGCTGAGCAGTGCTTACTGATTGCTATTATTTACAATTACATTTTTCAGTCTACTGCAAACACAGATGCTGCATCAGTAGGTAATATTACGTTTGATATTATGTTTGTATGTACCATGTCAAAGCTGTCTGTTGGTCATGTGGCACAGAGAAGTGAACCATTCTATGTGTATGTTGCATTACTGAATTCTTTTTTGGATTTATAATACATGCTCTAGAGTTGTCAGCTCGACCATTAAATTACAAATGCAAATTAAGCATCTCAAGTTATTGATCTTAAAAGAGCCGACGTCCTAGAAAATCAGGAAAGATCGCACCTTTGATCTTTTTCCATTTTCTAGGATCAGAAAAAGTTCTGTCTTTATCAGTATTTATTACATCGGTTATATATTACTGACTTCCACTAAAGACCAGATGAACAAGGAAATCAAAGGTAACATCAGGGGCGGTAAGAAGAGGCTAGGCTAAGCCAACCAGCTAATAAATTGGTTCTTCTTCCACGACTAATCACAGGGAGCGCCTTACCTTGGCGAAAGATCGATATGAAAAATGTCCTTCTACATTCTTTAGCTCCTATTCCTTTCGATATTGTAGACTTTGCAGTTGAAATGTTGGTGGTTCTCAGGAGGCATCTTGTTGAATGAAGCCCTCTAGACCCCACCAACCGTCCCTGCGAGGCCGCCATGTTCTTTCCAACGCAACCCGAATGGACTGATGGGAAAACATTGGAGAACAATAATTCAAGGACAGTGGGGAGAGTAATATGACACTAACGGTAAAAGGAATAAAGAGTCAGAAATATTTTTGTGGAATTCTCGAAATATTAGCGGAAATTGATTGAATATATAATCTGTCGAGAATTTGAAAGAAAAGTGAAATTTTAACAGTCACAAATATTTTGACATTGCAAAAATAGTTTTTCCATGTGCACTGTTTGTTTTGTCTAGTATTTCTAGTAAATCACAAACAATAATAAAAATTTATTTTGCCTTCCAAAGGGTTCAGATTTAAATTTCTGTGAAACTGTATTACCAAAAAAAAAAAAAGGATTTAAAAGAAAAAAAGCACCCCCGGTGGGACTCGAACCCACAACCTTTGAATTAGAAGTCCAATGCGCTAGTCCATTGCGCCACGGGGGTAGCCATGCGGCAAGGGAGAGAATTTTTAATATATAAATGTACAAGGCTAACAAAAAGTGTCCGTTCCAGTCTACTCTGAAATTTGAAGTGCGCCTTGTTGATTTTGCAGTTCGCTCTGTAACTCTTGAATTCTCTCATAAACATTTCCTCGAATTTATGGAAGATGGTCGACTTGTTTCGTAATGAAGGTGGAGGCGATGTTATGGATTGCTGCCATAAAATAACTTCGCAACTTCTTTGATGCTGTAAGGCCAGCAACTGCGAAGGACAGTTGTTGTAGGGATGCATCGACTTTTCTCGTCTTGTCCCAGTGGTTTAGTGAAACAAGAGGATCTTTTCAGTGCACTTCGAGAAAATGGCATTAACACAGGTGAGCTTCTTTATCCATGATTCTATCAAATGGATATAACTGAAATGAATGTCGGTAGTTTCGCCTACAAGTCGATTCGCCTACATCGAAGTCGATTCGCCTACACGATCTGAGTCGATTCGCCTACACGATCTAATTAAGTCATTTCGCCTACACTTGCTTAAGTCGAAAATGTTTGGCGAAGATAGATGAACATCACTGTCAGAATTCGTTTGGTGAAAGGGAGATCGAAAGGGAGGTCGAAAGGAACATCACACAACAACAGTTGTACAGTAAACAAACAAATTTAATCGGGTAACCCGAAAACACTGACCCCCGGTCCGTGGACCCCCACTACGGACTGGGTCCGCGGACTACCTATGGACCAGTCCATGGACTACCCCTACGGACTCCCTCTACGGACCACCCCCACAAAATATAATAAAAATTAGAGATAAATACTTCTCTCATGGGTTGCCTAATAGACTACTCGTCTCGGCGAATTTTCGAGTATTACACTGTGCAAATGTAATTGACACCCTTCTTCCCCCCGCCCCCCCCCCCCCC